ATTCCTGGCGGTGAGCGCAGGATGGCAGTGCTACCTGGGCAGAGTAAACTGCTGCTGCGGGGGCTGCCAGGAAGCCCAGTTCAGCTGCCGCACTATCCTTGCCCTGCCATGTACCTGGGGGTGGCAGGACTGACTGCATGCACCATGGCCTGGGCTGCCTCTGGGCCAAGGGACACGCCATGGACTGGATAAAATCCCTTGGTGGGCTGTATCTGGCCCGCAAGTTGTATTTTGCCTGCCCTGCTCTAGCTGCTGAGTACTGAGCACTTCCGTCTTGCCACCTCTGCTTTCCTGAGGCTGGAATAAGTGTCTCCACAACGAATTTACCTCACTGCCACTCCAAAGAAGAGGGTGGCCATGGTGCAAGGACAGTGCTGTGAAGGCCAAAATCCATGCTGTGGTGGGCCTATGACACAAAATAATCTTAATCTGGTCCTTTTAGCCACATAAACTTTAAAGTGTACAAGTATATATCTTCATCCACAAATAGCTTAGAAATGGTTATGTGTTTTTTTTTCCTCAAATTTTGAAAATAATCTTTGGACTGAGACCAGGCACAGGAAATTTGTGCCAAAATATTTGTGAAAGATTCAGATGATTTCAACCAAGGGTTTATGATTATAAATATGTTCTGAATGCCGTGCACACAATGGCTCTGATTTCACATAGAAAAACTCCACCAATTGTTGCAATTGCCCTGGAATTCTGGGATACCACAGAAGGGGAGGTTTGAATATTCCTGAATTGACTTAGTCTGTCCACTCTGCCTGACTTTTAAGACAACGGACAATTCTTTCTTGTTTGTGTAGATCCAAAACTTAAAGTACGGAAGCAAAGGAACAACTCCCGTTTCGAACAAACCCACAAACCAAACTGATTATATTATCAGGAGATGCTGTTGGGATTGTAATTCCCACTACCCACATAAGAACTGATTACGAATGGGAGAGGTCAGAACCAGACGAGACTCAGACATGCAAGGATAGCAGATTATTAAATAAGGAGATGAAGAAGGATTCAGAGACATCTTAATTCAAGTAAATTAATTATTCAATAATGACACAGTTTTGAACTATTAATGGTGGAGAATGTTGGCTGTTCATGCCTGAAATACACAGAACTCCTCACAAAAGCACAATCTTAGTTGATGGAGTCCACTAAAAATAAATAAAAAGAGAAAGCTAGATCTTATCTTGGCCTGGGAAAACTACTAAAAAGACTACTGTTTACAAAACAGTTTTTTAAATTAGTCTGGTTATTTCTTTAATGAAGTAGTTGCTATCAGGGGGAGGGTGCTGCTGTTCAAACCTAAGTAGATGGTACTCATTTTTTAACCTTATAACCAATAAAATAATATTTATGAAGATCATAGTGATCACTTTTAAGTTTTCCTTTCCTATTCTTTCCACATAGACATTGTTTCCTTGAAGCCTTAATTTCTCAAATTAATCTTTAATTTTAAATAAATTGTCAGTCTATAATATTCTTGACTTGCTCTATCTTATTTCAAATTATTAATCAAGTGACTTGTTCATCTCCTTTCACTTTATCATTCTTCCTAATAAATCTTAATTCAGCTCTTCATTATTCTTAGAGGGCCAGGAGACGCTTTTTCCTATCAGAGATGCTTACCCAGGTAGACAGAGGATTACACAAAACCTGATTGTATCATGCCATTTTAACAAAAAAAAAGTCACTTCTGTTTCTTTATTCATAATGGTTTGACTTCCTGGCTGACTGATACTTTCTGTTCATGCTCACAAAGATAATTTCTCAAATTTACCAACTTTTAATTAAAACTTTTCCTAACATATTTTTGCTTCTTAGCAAAACTCTGAATTCATATTAAATAAAAAACTCTCATTATTTTCCTAATTAGCACATCTATTTCACTCATAATTATTTCTCAACTGTATTTTCAATTCCCTTTTACTTTGCTTCATTTATTGCCTCTTCTTTCCACATTCTTCCCCTCTTTTTTGGTACTTTATCTTCATTTTCTCCTTTCCTAGTTTTCTGTCTTTACTTTTATGTTTGATTCATTGAACTGTCTGCCTCTCTTCCAGAATGGATAGTCAACAGCTCCTTAAGCCTGGAGAAGATTAAGGGCTCAAGGTGATGAGAAAAGAAGATTCCAACTGCTACTGAAGGGGTCTGAATACTTTGTTTTATCTGAAGTATATCAGTAACTTTCTCATCAAGCAACTCACTATTAATTCTTGTTTAATGTCTGAATATAAAGAAGGGGGTTAGTATGTAGAAATAAGAAAGAAACATTACTTTTCTAATGCAGCAGATATCAGGTACCAGAATAGTGTGTACAGTCCTGGTATCCCCCTTCTTAGAGGGATGTTGAAAAATTGGAGATGATATGAAAAAGAGATGCAAAAATGGAGTCATCGAAAAAAAATGCCTTATGATGAAAGAAAGAGATCAGTCTGTTTAATTTCTTAAGGCGACGACCAAGAGGTGCTGTGATTTTAGTGTTTAAATAATTCTGCAGATAAAACGTTGTGCATTGGGAGGTTTTAAAATCTATGTTAGAAGGGCACATCATAGCCAAAAGCTGAATTCAGAAAAATTCAATTTAAAAATATGACAGAACTTGATAACATTGAAAGGTGATTAAATGTTGGAACCAACTACCAACAGATGCAGGGGATTCTCCTGCTTGTCATACCTTGAACACAAGACTGAAGGCATCTCTAGAAGGTGCACTTTAGTTAGACAACAGTAATATGTTCAATACAAGGTTAGTGGGGTGAAATTTTATGGCCTGTGTTATATAGCAGGTCAGACCCAGTCATCCAATGGTCCCTTCGCGTCTTAAAAATCTACAAACCGATGAAACTCCCAGAAAGCAAGGACTGTGAATACCATGGTAGGATTGGGTCATATGTCTGAATTCTTTGAACATGCTCCTCCTCATACGTGTTTCACTTTCTTTAATACTCCTAGTTGCCATCTATTCATATTTCCTACTCACTCTGGTTTTGGCAGGGTGATAGTTATTCTTACAAAGAGACAGTGCAATTCAGTGGCAAAGGCAATGGGTTGAGAGTCAAGAAGCCTAGATTCTGTTTCTTGCTTTGTCATTAGCCTACTATGTGACTCTCTTTTCTTGTTCTGATTTCAGTTCCCCATCTGTAAATTGGGACTTTGGAATTTAGGAATTAAATATGCTATATAAGAACTAAGTACTATTAGCACTTATTTATTATTAATGCATGAGACTTAGGATCCCTTGAACTGTCCACGCTCATTTTCTTATTTAAATAAATTAATAGTTTATGTAAGTACCTACCATACTTTTTCATGTTTTTTACAACTTAATGATCAGAAGTAGACTCTGTGACTGATTACATTATGTTAGAGAAATTTTACATCCTTAGAAAGCTTTCTTTAGTTTTAAATAATTCATAAAGAGATTCTGAATCAACTAAGAAACATAACAAGTGAGTGGATGAGCCATGTCTAGTTCCTTACACTGGACCACATGTACAAGGCCAGATGAAGTTATAGGCACTACAGGCCTGAGTCTTGGGCCCCAGCTCCTGGAGTCATGTGATGAGTAGAGAATCTCAGCTTTCATTTAAAAAAAAAAAAAAGTTCTAGAAAATCTTGAAAACATGAATAGAACCATTACATGAAGTCCGCTGAAAACTGTAGCGAGCCTGAGACAAGAGCTTTGATACTGTTAGTTATATACTGACCCATGGGTCTCAATGAGTCATTAACAGCAGGACTCACTGCTTTCTGATGGAGACCCCTGTACCAGTACAACAGAGGACTTTATAATGTAACAAGATTGTACCCTGTCAAATAGATATACTTTGGATATTGAATTATTGGGGGAGAGGGTCCCCTTAGCACTTCTGCCTCTTAGTAGGGGAGGGAGGACTACTGCTGCCATTCCCAGTGGCAACGCGTAGGGGGTGCACAGGGGTGCATGTGCACCCCCTGAGAACGCTGGTGTACCCCCTGACAGGCCGTGTTCCCTGCTTAGGTGATGGGTGGTGCGGCAGGCAGGAGCACCGGTGCCCCCCTTGAAAGTGTCAGCCAAGGAGTGAGAGTGCCGGATGAAGCACCGCAGCCATTTCTGGGAGTGCTGCGGCCACTTCCGGTTGGCCGCTGGGGGGTGGGGCACGTGCCCCCCCTACTAAGGTGGCACTGGTCACCCATGGCCATTCCTGTTACTACCAAACAGGATGATACCACTGCGATACTACTCTGGTCTCTTTAGAAAAACAGCTGAATCTTGAGGCATAATCTAAAAGTGAAAAAATCCAAACTTGTCAGACCTAAAAGGAATTTAGTTTCTGAGAGAGTTTCATAGCTTCTCTCAGTACACTCCCATTTAAACAAGGCATGTGTAAATTTGTGTACCATTTGACTGCAACTGTCATAGAATCGCATATGGAGAGAAGCAGTTTCTAATGCTACTAAATAACACAAATATTTAGGGGTTTAAAGGAGAAGACCAATGCTTTAACTAGGAACTAGATAGACCATGAAGTGTAAGTGCTTTCTGGGAGAAGTACTGTGTAAGGGTCAGAACAATCACCGTAGTTGGGATCAGGAAGGAATGTTATCCCATGGTCACTGACATGACTTTGGGGGTTTTTGCCTTCCTCTGTAGTGGGGGATGTGGCAGTCTACCTGTGATTTCTTGAGATTATATTGACAACATTTCATAGAAGCAGGACATTGGCTGCCATGGTTTCCATTTTATCAGTGGCAGGTTCTGTGGGTGTTAGGTCTGTGTTGTATCAGGGTTGACGGTAGTCTTATGTCGAGTTTAGATTATGCTTTGTATAGGATAGTTTGGCTAGGGATGGGGGTTGAACTAGATGGCCTATGGAGGCCCCTTCCAGTTCTACTTCTCTATGATTCTGTGATAAGATATTGGCCACCACTTTTTGCACCAGCTCAATGTTCTAAATTGTCTTTAAGCACAGCACCATAAAGTACAGATTGCAAGAATTGATTCTTGGAGTTACAATGGCAGTGGCCATTTGGGACAAGCCCTGCATCAAAATAGAAGTGTTAAGAACCTCTCAGATGCAGATTTTTTTAAAAAGCATTTTTGGCTATTGGAACTTGAGAGCCGCCAGACAGCCAAAATACACAGATTATAAACCTAGATAATAGCAGAGAAGAGTGGGAAGATATAATCTCTGCCACTTCTGTTTTTCCCCCCACAGCTTACAGACATTTAATACAGGAATTGCCATACTGCTGCGGAAATCAATGGACTACTCACAATAATAATGTTAAGCAGATCCATGTTTGCTTCTTTTTTCCAAGTTAGCAAAGTCGTAATAATCATATAATAATTATAATTATTTAAAAGGAAAGGCTAATATGTGTATTTGCAAGGGGTATTTAAAAGTACCCAGGGCATGTACTAATGAAAATGATAGCAAATATCCAGTGTAAAGGAGATGGAAGAACATCATCAGGCAACAAAAATGATGGTCCAAATAATCTTTTATATATTTATATTTTATATAAATGTTTTGTAAGGGAAAAGGCAATGTTTTTTTATCATGCTGCATTTAAACAGTAGTCACTAAACATACTTAAGAATTTAAGCAATTTTCTTTATCAAGTCTCTCTCTATTTTTGGCAATTTGATTCCCTAATGCTTTCAGAGATTTAGTTAGTGAATAATTCTGGTATTTTCACCCTAACAAAATTTCCCACCAGTCATTCCACATATTTATGGCTCAGTTTGGGGAAAAAAGTACTTCCTGACATCTGTTCTGAATTAGATCTCTTTTCCAATTATGTCCTTCTGCTTTATAATCTTTGCTCTTATGAAAATAGTAACTTACATTTACAATATTTATACCATTTAAAGTTTTATGTAAGTCAGTTGAGCTTCCATACTGCTTTTCTGAATTTAAGATGAAGAAATTATAACCTGCTCAGTTCATACATTTTAGCAATGAGTAGTACCTTTTTATCATTCATTGTACTTCTTCCCAGCATTATGTTTTCTTTCTAATGACAAGAGCTGAACACAATATCCTAAATGGGCTTTTATTAAAAAATTATATAATTTCATGATCACTTCCCTTCTAGCTATTCAATTGGCTTTTTAATTGCTTCTTCATATTACAAACATTTTTAGATGGCTCCACATTACCTGAAGGTTTCTTTTAAAGTCAACCTACTCAGTCAAATTCCATTAATTTTCCATTTATGTTGATAGGCATGCAAAGTATGCACCATTTTTAGATTTCTCAACTTTACCAGCTCAGTTACATATAGTCAAATATATTTGTTTCTATTTCCTTTGTGATGCGTTACTATTGTTAATAATATCATCAGACTTAAGAAACTTACTATCAGCAGTTTTAATATAAGCAATTAGCATTAGAAGTACAAATACTAATATTTGGAAGCCCAAACCCTTTCCCTAGTTGAACGTAGGGCCTTTTAAAGAAGCTCTGCTCTTTTTTCACTCTCTCTGAAGCTTGCTGACACTATGGGTGCTCGATTAATCCAGTCTGCTGGAGTGTTCTAATTAGAATGCTCTAGTGTATGGCAGTGTCTTGTGTATTCACTGTCTCACATTTCAAAATGGCAGCAGAGGTACTTTAACTGAAGCTCATCGAATGAGCTTTAGTTAAAGTGCCCTCACTGCTATTTTGAAATTCAGGATGCTGAATACATGAGACACTGTGGTGGTTTAATTACAGCAGCTCCCAAGAGCTACTTTAATTACATCCCCCCACACACACACCCACCCACCCACCTGTGCATGTGTACTGGCACCCAAAAATTAATGTTTGATAATGGAGGTGAATATTGGCAATGCATAGGGGGTGCACATGCACCCCCTGAGATGGACGGTGCACCCCCTGCGAAAAGCACTGCCAATGCTGCCACTGTGGTTGTTGCTTGCCACCCCACCCCAACACCACCAGCGGCATCTGCAGGTAGTCCCCCATTGTCTGTGGGTGGTCACGGACTGCTGGTTGGTGCCTGCCACCCCTCCACCCCCACTCCCCACTGCCGATACTGCTGTGGCCACCTGCAGGAGCTCCCCACTCGCCACCGCTGCCTGTGGGTGATCACCGTGCCCTCCCCAGCCTCCAGGGGCACACGGCATTCATGGAGGTGAACAATAGTTGGATGTAAAAAAAAATAGCTTTTATAATAACAACTAATCAGCAGCAGCAGTCCTTTGATATGAGGATGACAGTCTTCCAGTAAACTGGGAAGACATTGGTGAGTACATAGATGACCGAGGCGGCCAATCCAAAATTTGCACGTTTGACTACAGATGTGGTAAATAGTTCTGCAAAGGAGTAGATCCTAGTGATGTTGGATAATAGCTCCTTTCTTTTGTCTCTCTCAACTATGTGCCTCCATTGTGAGGCAAGTTTTCTTGAAATGATTGATGCCTTGTACATTGTGGCATACTTTAGGACAAGTCAGTGCTTGAATCTCCCATGTACTGATGTTAGTATCACATTTCTTTAGATTGACCTTCATGATGTCCTTGAACCTCTTTTTTGCCCACCTCTAGAGTGATGAGCTTCAGTCAGTTGGGAGTATAAGACCTGTTTAGGAAGATGGTTTGTTAGGCATCCTTATGACACGCCCTGTCCAACAGAGCTGATACCATATAAATATAGTTTCAATGCTAGTGGTGGTTGCTGGCATTGAGTCTTCTGTCCTTTCAGCCAACATGGAGGATTTTACAGAGATTGCTGATAGTAATTTTCCAAAGCTTCTGATATATCATCCAAATTTCACACCCATACAATAGGGTAGGACAAGACCCTGGTAGATGAGAAGTTTGATTCCAGTCTGATGTCACGATCGTCCAAGACATGGTTTCAGGGATGTCTAAAGGCATTAGTGGCATATTTTATCCAGCATTGAATATCATAGTCTGTATTTTCTTTTTGGGAATGGTGGCTAGGCAGAGAGAATTCTCAACATTCTCCAAGGGTTTCCCTCTAATTGTAGTATGTGGAGGAGCAGATGGTTGGTTTGGGTGGGTCAGTAAGGAGCTTGATTTTTGTGAAGCTGACAGTAAGTCCTAGCATTTTATATTCTTTGCAGAAGTAATTAAGAGTGACTGGAACTGGTCAACTCAGTGGGCACACATGACACAATTGACAGCATACTGAAGATCAGTAATGGAGGCACTGGTATCTTGGACTTGAATGTAACCAGTTGATGTTAAAGAGATCCCCGTCCATGCAGTACTGGATGCTGAACCCAGATGGAAGTTTATCAGAAATGAGATACAGAATAGCTGCAATATAGGTGGAAAAAAGTGTTGGCATAATCATGTGTCTTCACTTAATTCCAGTTCTAAAAGTGACTACTAATAGACTACTACTGTACAATAGACTAAAAGTCTACAATTTAATTAGATTGCAATAATGAAAAAACAAAACAAAATAAAACATGAGCTGATACATTTTAAAGTCCAACTGCAGACATGATGAATTAATTATGTTAACACGTGTTAGCTGGTTGAGGTGAACCTTAGACTCCCCTCTAGTGGTCAATAAGGACCAGGACAAATTGTGCTTATCATTGTATCATCTACCAGGTTACAATGTTGGTAAGATGTTGTAGTGTAGATAATGCTCCATCCCTTTGTGTTAACCCATACAAATGCAAGTGTTACTTAGAACTAGGAGATGACATGAGACTAAAAGGAAACATTTCTTTCTTGGCCATTCAAAGGACAGACAAGAAATGGAAGAGCTTGTTTAATGAAAATGAAGTAGAATAATGTTCATTACGGTCAAAGATGCCAAGAGTGCAGTATTCTCAGGTAGGTTACCTAATGCGTGGGATATTTTATAAAAAAATTCCCCATATTTCAAAAGTGCAAATTGAAGTCGCCTCCTTTATCTGCATGGAGTTCCACTGAAGTCCATGCAGCACCACCTGTGCAGGCTGCATTGGCATATTTTTTTGACAGAACTTGGGTTTAGTTTAGATATATGTTCCATGCTTTTATCCGGAAAATGGGCGCACATTTTTTTGTCTTTTTGGTTTTACAGTTCTTATTAAGATTTTACTGAAGATAGACCCCTTAAATATATATATAAATGACTATAGCTCTGTACTTTTGCTTGCAGTTGCAGGTGTCCTCTCTTGAACTAAACAGTTTATTGGTTCAAATGTCCTGGGCTCAGAAGGACACTTAAATAACATACTGATACTAGGCTGGTGGAGAGGGAGGTGTCTGCTTGTGCTTCCTTTAGCGCATTCAAAATGTAAGATACACTATATTCCATCTGGCTTTGAAGAATGAATGGTTCTTGTGAGTTATTTTGAGAACTGTGGAAGAGATGCAGAAGTCAGTCTCAACAATTAACACTGCTAACACCAGTATCATTAATCTAGTTTTAGACCTGTGGTGATGAAATATCTTTGCCCATTTTTATATGGGACACAATACATTTAAAAAGACAACAATAATTTATTTCCTACTGTAGTAAAACAATCCTGAACAAATTGTTAGGATGAAGGCATAAAATATACCCGTTCCTATTCTTCCTGGCTCTTTAATGTTAATAAGGAGCTTTAAAAAAAACTGAAAAATTAACTTTTTAATTTTTTCAATACATGAAGTGAATAGAGAAGATAATTATTGAGAGATTTCTCTTGCAGTTTTATGAGATTCACTATGATTGGCATTTATAGTTCTAAATGCTGAATCAAGAGATAAGTATGATTTTGAGTTTTTGTTTTAAATATATTTGGATGCACAGAAAAGCTGTAAAACATTAATCAAGTAAAAAAGGCTCAGAAAGCAAGTAATACATATCCAAAATGTACTGTATATTTTAAAATGCATTTTTAAGCCATGATTTTAGGGCCTGACATGGTACCTGTAGACTTGGGCCAGCAACACTGATACTTGCTACCACCTGCCTTTGCATATTTGAGTATGTTTGAGCCACATAACTCAGCTACCAATAACAGTGAAGCTAGAGTAGCCAGGACCAGGCTCTACAAACCCATCTAGTACCCTTCCTTGGGCAACTAAAGGCTGATTAAATATAGGTCAAAGATGACTCACTAGGTAGTGTGGCTAAGGAACACCATTCTCCATAGGCATATGGTTTGTGTGTCACTGGCTCACATCTAGCCACTTGACTCCCTAGCCTTGATTAACCAGGTAACATTTACATCTGGACTGACTAGGAACAGCTTTCAACAGGTTCAGGGCTCAAACTTGTGCTTCTGAAGCTATAGCAAAATCCCTTAACCACTTAGCCACTGCACCTCCTAGCAGATAATAGACGCACTATAAATCATCATGAGCTGGGGTGCCATTCATAAAAGACAGGAGAAAGCAGGACTAAACATTGACTGTGTCACTCCCTAGGGAAGGAGTCTGTTTTACCAGAAAACATTTAAAAATATTCGTATTGAAGTTTTCATTGTGGATGTATGACAATACTTTACAATGATCTCATTATGCTACATGAGAAAAGATAAGCCCAGTTTGGGTTTGAAGATAGCCTTTTCCCAAATTGGAAATGTTGATAAGCCCCTTCATTCCTGGGTCTCGAATCAGCCAAATAGTGGCAGCCCTACTTAGCTGCCAGACAGAGATACCGTGTGGGGCCTATGCCAGCCTGTTGCTGTCTTGTGCTGACATGAGGGACACCCAAAGGCTGGTGATTCTTAGGCATCAGAGGATTTTTGGAAGTGGTACAAGTAGGGCCTGTGACAGTGACTGTGGGCTTGGAGTCCTGCCCAAATAGCAGCCACACAGCTGATAAACCACGTGATAGAAGCAGAGACTGAGGAACAGGTGGCAGCAACTCCCCAGACTAACAGCCTGGAAAGGAATTACCCCAGGAAGAAGTTGAAGGTTGGTGTCACTTGGAGGTGTTTCCTAGGTCACTACTCTGCTGGCCAGGGGGAGCCTCCAAGAGGGACCATTTTCTTAAAGTTTCAAAGCCCAGCACTTAGATGTAAGGGTGCAAAGTTCCTTGAGAGAACTGGGTGTCCTGCTGGTAGTTACAGCACTGCCCTCCCCACTTCTCAAAGGCTACTTAAAATATAGCCATATCAAACACACCAACCATAGGGCTAACAAACCACTGGTATGGAAACGAGAACAGAAACCAGCCGTCATTGCCTCTCAGGGCTCCAGTCTACCACTGAGAATCACTGAGCCCTTGAGATGCATATATAAACAGGGAGCTTCCCAAAGGCTGATGTCAGGAGTCTAGACAGCCAGCTTTAGGGGTGGGTGAATGCCCAGGGTACTGTGGTCAAGGGGAGCAGGTACCATACACATGTGTACATGTGAGTAGCCTGTGGTCACAGCAGTGCTCCCTCTACCCCATCAATCCTTGCTCCAGGCAGGAGGAGTGGTGCCCATCCCATCCCACCCACTGCCTCCAGCTGCTGCTCAGGAGCCAGGCTGGGCAGCATAGTTGGCAGCAGTGGTGCCTACCTGTCCACCTGCATGATGCACCATGCCGCTCTGCCTCCCTGACGGACTGTTCCCTGCACCCCTGCCTTCAGCAGCACCGCTGACTTCAGGGGAGTGCTGGGGGAAGGCATCAAGATACAAGTGAGTTCAGGGCATCATTTTCCTTAAGGCTGGCTCTGGGTCCATATAAGAATCAGAGAGACCTTGCTCTGCACAGAGGTTAAGAACATAAGAAGTGTCATACTGGGTCAGACCAGCAGTCCATCTAGTGCAGTAATCTGTCTCTGACAGCAGCACAAATGGTTGCTATAGAGCATAGGTGGCCAAACTGCAGCTCACAAGCCACATGCAGCTTGCTGGCACGGTACTTGTGGCTCTCTGGAAATTGGCTGAAGCCCCGCTCAGTTCTCCCCAAAGTGGCTCCAAGGGACAGAGCAGCCTGGCATCTCCTGCTGCTTTGACTTTCCCCACAGGGAGCCCACCCTCCTCCTCTCCCTTGGAGACTGCCGGCTCAGGCACCGGGTTGCTTGCCCCAGGGCATGCTCCCCACGGGGAAAGCTGGAGTGGCCTAGCAATGCAGAGAGGGGGTGGTCACTTCCACTCCCAGTCACTCAGCACCCCTCCCCACCCCCAACTTTCTGTGCTGGATCGGATGTGGCTCCCAGGGTGAGTAACTCTGGCCACCCCTGCTCCAGAAGGAGAGTATTGAATCGGGTATCTCTAGTGATCCATCTCCCATTTGGTATCCTCCCTGGCATCCACCATTATAGGTTTAGAGATGCCAGAGAAAACATTTCCAACCGTTCTGCTCAGTAGCCATTAAGAGATCTACCATCCAGAAGTGTATCCAGGCCCTTCCTCAGCCTGGCTATGCTCTCTGCCTCCACCACCGCCTGTGGCAATGAATTCCACAAATTTAACTAAGCATTACGTAACATATGTCCTTTCCCTGTTTAGGTTTTAAACCATCCCCTACTCTCAGCAGGTGCCTCCTCCTAGCGATCTGGTGAGCAACAGCTCCCTGCTCACTTGACCCCATCACCCTGCAGGGCCGACAGGCAGGCTTCCCCCACGTGTAAAGTCGCTCGTAGGGTGGTGGTGGTGGGGGAACCTGCACTTCATTTCCCAGACCTGGAGCCCCGTGACCATCGCGCCTCTCACAACCTCCTCCACGGCCCTTGCACGTGTGTGTGTTGCGGGGGGGCTCTCACGGTGCAGCTGATGTTTAAAGCTATTAGGAGAGGCAAATCCACCCCCGTCCCGAGGCGCAGGCGGTCCCATCACATGCCGGAGCAGCCGCGCGGTCACGCCAGAGCCCGGGGTTGCCCTCACGCCCCGGCCACGCCGCGACCCTCAGCGCCAGCGCCGAGCCCGCTCCCTCTCCCCCGGCTATGAATAGAGCACGCTGTGCGTGTCACGTTCCCATTACGTCCCCGCGCACTGACGCACCGGGGAGGAGCTCTCCGTGACGCAAACACGTATCCGGCCAAGCTATAAATAGGCTTCCGGTGCCGGCAGCCAGCGGCCGGGGGAAGCTGGGCGGCCGACTGTGCGCGGGCCGGTCGCCATGGTGACGCTGGCCGCGTGCTTCTTCCCGGGCGGGCTGCAGCGGGTCTTCGTCCCGCCGCCTGTTTCAGACGCGCTTGGGGGCCCCGGGCCTGTGTGCGCGCGTGTCCGCCCCGGGCCAGAGGGAGCTGCCTGCGCGGCAGTGTGTCCTCTGGCGAGCGGGGCCGTCAGACAGACTGGTGCTAGCTCCTGCTGCACTGGTCTGGGCAGGGGGCTGCCGTCGACGGCCTCCTGCGCTGCCCTTGCAGCCCTGCTCCTGGCAGCGGGGGCGTCTGTGGAAAGGAGCCTTTTCCCGGGGTTTATTTCCACGGGAATGGCAACAGTCGCAGCAGCGGAAGGGGGAGAGCCCGGCGTGCAGGGGCACCGGCCCAGGGTGGCTGCCGTGCTGCTGACAGCTCACGAGGTGGAGCCGCCTGTCAAGGGGCAGGAGGCCGTGGTCGGGTAGAAAACGCTCTGGCAAAACTGGAACTGGATCCGGGTCCTGTGCTCTTGCTGTGAGGCCTTGTGCCTTGCACAGCTGTTGTGCAAAGGACTGCGCACATGACAGATGTCAGTAAAGCATGTTCTGTGCCCTGCGTTTGCTGGCTGGTTCGTTATTTCAGAATATAGGCAGCCATCTTTTTATTTTATTTTATTTTTCTTCATTTTGATTTTAAGGTCCTTGGGAAAAAGCACACTTCTGTTTTGGTTAACGGGTGCTCTGCTCTGCTGCTCTTGATGTTACAAGGCAAGGTTTCTTAGGGCGATTGACATCTTTTGTTGGACCAACTCTGTAGTTGGGATAAACTTAGATGAGCTCTTACTTTTAGCAGAAAGTGTCTTCCTCCATGGAGTCTCTTGTTCCTAATACAGCAAGAACAGTACAGCTAAAAAAACGGGTTTTAGTAACAATAATCATGGCTAAATCCTGGGGATCCAAATATTGTGTAAATATACCTGGTCTACAGGTATGTTCTCTCTGCTTTTGTCCTGGTGTTTGATGCTGTTTGACACTTGTCTAATTTTTTATTAAACGTGGTTTGTTCGGGTTTTTTGGCTTTTTTTATTAAGCTTATCTTGATCTATGAAAATGTCAAAGGGGTTTTACTGAATCAGCTGTGGCATTAGAGTAATTTGCTTTAAATGAAATTAGAAAGTTTGAACTGGTTGCATGTTGTAGCTTCGTACATATGAAGCCATATTAAAGCAAAAGGCAGGGTAGATTTACACCTTATTGACTAAATTTAATTGCTTTTTACTATATCAGAACTACAGGTATTGCAGCAAGTGGCCACTTAATGCTTTCTTTCATGTGATACCTACTCTGTTTTCAAAAATAGGTCAGCAGGTCTCCTTTCTGTGATTCTAATGGAAATAGGAGAAAAATGTACTTGGTCCTTTACAGGTATTGAAGCATTTCCTTAAGCTGACAGTTATTTTATTTGGGGAAAAATACTTCTAGTTGTAGATGTGCTTATTACCCTGTAACTAGTCACAGACACCAGCTTAACCTCTCAGTCATGAAGGCACTATTGACTCAGGTTCTCTAGGGAAACCTTTGTCTTCTGCAAGAACTGTTTTCCTCCAAAAGAATAAATGCTCATTCTATTGCTAGTTCATCGTTCAGGTTTATATTTTCCTTGGTTTCAAGTCCTGTTGTAGGCAATATTTATGCATCACTTTGAAACCAGGTGAAATAAGCTATATTAGTGTCTATGCTAGACGGCTCTTTCCCCCCTAAATTTTCCACCATTGTAGTAGATAGTGCCCCAGGACTATCTTCAGGACACTAGTATTAAACAAACCTAAGTGTCTTTATCTCTGTGAAGGTAAAGGGCAGAGCTGCTGGCAGTGATTTGACCCCAGCCTGCACTTAGCACTTGCACTGTTCCAACCGCCATGTAACTGAGAGAGATGGAACAAAAGAGTCTAATGTAGACCAAAGCCTCAGGCTTCTTTCCCCTGTGCTAATTGATCTTCCTTTTCCAGCTGTCGTGGAACCTTAGGTCATAACTTATTGCATTGCTCTACTAAAAGTCCTTCCTTAACTCTGCTAAGGATTTTTTTAAATATTCCTGTTCATAATATTTTGGGGAAGACCTGTAGATGGGAGAGGGATTTTAAGATACTTAAAAACAAGTGTCAAATCAGTCCAGTGGATGGGTTGTGAATCGCTGAATTGATTAAGAGAATTGTATGATTAAAACAGGATTTTTTTAATGATACCAAAGGATCTTCTTAAATGAAACAAAAGGTTGGAATTGCAAACAGTAATCACGAGCATTATCTAGTGCCCTTGCAGCATGTTGTGACTGTTGTTTAAATTGGGGTGTCAAGACAACTGGCCCACAAGCCAGATTGGGCATACAGAATTACTTCAGCCACCCTGTGGGGTTCCTAGAGGGCTGGGAATTTGGGTGTGGGATGAGCAGTGCCTAAGTTAACATCTGTGCTGTTGCCATCACCACTTGCCCCACCAGTGCTGGGTTCAGATATGGCCTGCAAAACTTCCCATGGTCTGCATCTGTAAACAGCCTCCTGGTTGGGATACAGCCAGGGGACCTAGGTGAGTTTGACTACCTTGGTTTAAATAGCTGACAAGATAGCGAAACAAAGTGAAATTTTGGAGATAAAGTTCTTTGTGTCTCATGAGAGGAACAGCACAGAAGAGTAGCTTATAGGGTATGTGCTGTAGTCCAGATTCCTGGTGTTGCAGTGTCAGAATAATATGGTTGGGGGCTGGCCAGTCTACTTACGTTGGCTCTCTGCTGCTCCTGAATATGCCTTCAGACCCTTGGAGCTCCATGACTGTTGAAGCAGCATACTGAGGCATGGGGGCCTGAATTACCTCATAATATCAAATAAGTAACTCATTATTACAAAAGTACTTTTATTATATTTAAAGATGAATCTAAAAATCTCTCTCAACACTTGAGTTGGTAACAACTGTTCAGTTCTTGCAAATGTAATATGGAACTTTTTGGACTACATCCCTTTGTAAAGGCCTACATTCTGATTGTAGTTACAGTAGTGTAACCTTGATGGTGATTTTAATCTAAATTTAAATCTCTATAGCAGATCACAATTGGATCCTAAGAATCAGCTTGCCCAGATGCTTGTAAGAAAAGGACCAGAATGACTTCTTGGCAGTTTACTCTTTTCGTGGATGTCTGTGCAATCAGGGTTATTTTGTATATATTTTTATTTCAGTGATTTGTTCTTCCTCAATGCATCATTATCTGTATTTTAGAAAAATGAGTCTGAGAGGGGAATACATTTGTTGCGCACAATCTGAATCGGTGCCAGCCATTGCTATGGTGCCAGTTATGGCACTTAGATTTTCTTTAGGACATAACAGTACATTTCACCAAAGCTGTATGTCTGAAAGCATCCTGTATTGGAAGCTATTTTATCCATCACTTTATCCTTCCTCCTGAGAAATAGAAAAGCTGCAACTCCATGGAAGGATTCTGATGACATGACACAAACCACATTAACATGTGCTTTTAGGTTTAATGTTATTTGTCAACTCTAACTGGATCATGGGTTTACTCTTTAGAATTGCTTTTGGGCCTTCTGTTCTTTTCACCCTAATATCTCATATCCCTAATACCATCTGAGTTTCCAGCCTCCATTTTTTTTCCTCTTCCCTTCCACAACAAGCCCATTCTGGACTTTCCTCTTCTGCAGACTTTACCCTTTGGCTAGTTGTTTTGCTAGCTTGTTTGTTAAAGATGGAATCAGGAGCTACTTCATATGAGCTCTTTAGAGTTATAATAAAAAACGAACCTGACAAGCTCTTCCTGCTGTGGAAGAAGTGCTGTTGAAAACCTAGAGCTGCTGATTAATGTTTAAAGCATCTTTATTTTTTCTTTTCCTGGATGCGCAGTCCCTTTTGAGTATTTTTTTTGATGACATTTGCTTTTTGTTATGTACTTTTCTGCTATTGACTTCATATTGTTCACTGTTAACATTCAATGATGAATGGAGCTAAAAGTTCTGTGTTGTCCTGCCACACACACTTTATTCTGGTGTGTGATAACAGAATCAGAGTTAATTATATAGCATTGTGTCCTCTTCTATTGTGATATTCTTTTGTCTACTCAGATAAGTAATCCATTAAGGAAACTTTAAAAAAAAGATTTGTTCTTGTTTTGTATTAATAAAATTGAGTTCAGTTATGCTGGAAAAATATTAAATGTGCATGCTTGTGGAGTGAAATAAGATGCAGCCTTTGTGGCTGGCAGGCTCTCTTTTCTGAGAATTTGGTTTAAGGCAGGGGTCAGCAACATTTTTGGGCAGAGTGACAAAAACACCTGCAACCTCAGTTTGTAAGATGTTGGTGTGCTGGGGCGGATGGCGGGGGAATCATGAGAGGCCCGATACTTGTTGTGGCAGGGTAGCACCAGCCCGTTCCTTGCAGTCTACCCTGAGATGCACATGCCAAGCAAAATGTCTTTGCGTGCCATGCTTTGGCTACCATGCTGGGGGTTGCGTACCCCTAGTTAAAGTCTTCATAGATTCATAAATTGTAGAGACGGAAGGGACTACAATGGATCATCGTGTCCGACCCCCCCCCCCCGGCCCCTGGCAGGAAAGAGGACTGAGGTCAGATGACCCCAGCCAGGTGACTGTCCAGCCTCCTCTTGCAGCCCTCCCAGCTAGGTGATGGCACCACCTCTCTTGGAAGCCCATTCCAGATCCTGGCCACCCTTACTGTGAAAAATTTCTTCTTAATATCTACCCTAAATCTACTCTCAACTAGTTTACACCCGTTATTCCTAGTCACGCCACGGGCTGCCTTAGTAAAAGGTACGTCCCCTATTCCCTATTGACCT